CAGGTCATCGCCCTCATCGACAACAGGCAATGTTAGCGGATATAGGGTCAGGCTGGAAAAGAGCTAGCGGTGGTCAAACCAAAACATGGCACCAGTCAATGAATTCCGCAACAGTTAGTCTAAGCCACGTAGGAAGGTGTAGACTTCCTGACTGGTCGGGATTCTCGGGACGGTAAAGACCAATGGTTGGAAACAAATGGTGACATGGCTCAAAGTGATCGTTCTCAATGGCTAGCGAAGATGCATCCACTCCTTGTGACTTATGATTTCAAATGAAACTGTTGTTCTTCATAATTACTCTTCCTTTGTCTCACACCTCTGTTTACTGTCTCTCTTATGCTTTTCTTGTACTTTCTTCTCTTGTTTTGTGTGCTAGATGGAGTGTGGCGACTTGAACTGGCGCACATATGTGCAAAGTCCTATGTTGAAAACCGACAGACAGACAGTCACACTTCTAACTCTGGTTATATAAATAATTATGGTAATTTTATTCCCACAAACTCGCATTTTCATCATATATTTCCAACAGTGTCGTTGGAAATTTTCGCAACCAGTAGTATGTGATTTCTCTCTGGAACTGTTGCCATCAGTTAAATGTTATTCACACTCTATAACAGTGTGGTTGCTTTTAGTCATACGAGTATACACAACCGACACCACTATTGTTAATACCCAATCGTTGCAACCAACACAGTTCATTCGATCATTCTTTTATATAAATCTGATCGTGACTGCAAGACAGCGGCTAAAAATTTGGTCAGTGATAATTACAGGCGTCGCAAAAGCTGCCAAGGTTCATTGCTTATAGCTAAGATAACTAATGACTTTTAGACTTATGTGATCCCCAACAGTTCATAGTAGTTAGCAGGTATTTTTTTCATTCCTTTACATTCCCAGAGGAATATAAGGCTTCAGGCTAGAGGCATGAATTTTCTGTAACAGTGTTAGTTTTTACAGGATGCGGTTGCTAACCTCATGCCCAACCTTTCCTCTTCACCAGCTTTATTACTGGCTTAACGAGGTAAAAGAGTGCGTCAACCGGACTATGTGCACGGTTGGCGAGCGTCCTAACCGCTGTGCCACCGATGCACTTAGCAGGTATTGATAGTGCTATTTCTCTTCTCAATTTCAACACTTTTAAGGGCTCTGAAAACAACATTTCATAGTTTAATTATTTTGTTTCCTAAGCAAGTATTGTAATTTATATACACATATCAATCTCCTGATTTTTCGTGCTCGAGAACACCTAGCAGTGTGATTAAATAAAGGTGTTTTTAAACTGTCAACATTTCTATATTGAACAATCTCGTGGAAACAGTCCACAAAGCTAACATCTCTCTGGTATCGAATAAACTACCAAAGGATTCTAGATATTGGACACTCCAAAAAAACAAGGCCATTTCAGTTCACCTAATTCAGCCGGAGCTCTACGTTTGAAAGAAGCAGGTCCAGGCACTGTCGCTATCCTTGCCTGCTGTCGAGTCTATAAATTCAGAAATTCTATATTACTTCTCTTAATTTGCCTGATATTCAGTTTAGTGTTACACTGTTGCATATTATTTCTCTCTTACTGATGCTTTTGAAGTGTAATCTTTCGACAATACTGAATCAGAGACGGTTCCATCAGACTGGGGTAAGTAACTGATTATACCGATACTCAAGAAGGGAAACAAGTCCTCATGTGATAATCATAGGGGGATCAGCCTAACGAACATAGTTTCTAAAATCCTAGGCTCAGTAATCATGCACAGACTAAGGAGAACTCGAGAGGAAGAAACGAGGGGAAATCAAGCAGGCTTTATTTTTATTTATTTTTTTATTTTTGATTTACAGCTTGATTCCACACTGTATTTTCGGTACAAGGATGGAATTTTCAGCAGGGATATCGGTAGCCCAAATTTTGCAGGCCAACCATAGATATCAGGTGTGCGTCGGTGCGGGCTCGAACCCCGGACCATTTGAATGGTCGGCGAGAGTCCTAACCACTGTGCCACCGACCAGGTAGAGGGTCCATAGATCATATCTTCACTCTCCGACAAATTCTAGGACATAGACACACTTTTCGGCGTCCAACACTTGCCATATTTCTCGACTTGAAGGCAGCCTTCAACTCCGTGGATCGAAAGGTACTATCACAATGTTTGACTGTGAAGGAAGTGCCAAGAAAGTGGATTGCCCTAATCAAGGCACTCTATTCAAACTCACGTAGTCGTGTAAGGGCTTATGGGGAATTGTCATCTGAATTGATAACAACCAGTGGTGTCCGACAGGGATATCCACTTTCCCCATTCCTGTTTAACTTCATCATAGATATGCTAATGGAGGTATCCTTAACTGAAGGTAACGACTTAGAAATCGACTTGTTACCAGGGAATAGTCTTATGGACTTAGAATATGCAGATGACATAGTCCTGTTAGGGGAGGATGGTGACAAAATGCAGAGTCTTCTGAACACATTGAGCTGCAATCTTCATGTGTTTGGCATGCGATTCGCCCCTGTGAAGTGTAAGATGGTGCTACAGGACTGGATGGACTACGTCAACTCCTAGCTTAATGATAGGGATTGAAGTGATAGAACATGTTGGCCACTTCACCTATTTGGGAAGTTGTATCAAAACCAACGGACTGATTGACGACGAAATCTCAGCACGGATCCAAAAAGCTCGAGCTGCTTTCGCTGACTTACACCATCTCTGGCGTAGGCGTGACATCCGGCTGGCTATTAACCAAGGGTCGTGTGTACTGCTCATCAGTTCGCTCGGTCCTTCTCTATGGCTCTGAAACATGGCCAATACGAGTTGAAGACATGAAAAGGTTGACTGATTTCGATCATAGATGTCTGCGATCTCTGTCTCACGTTAGGTGGTTTAATAAGGTTAGTAATGTTGACGTTAGGCGTAGAGTGTTGGGCAAAGAGAGAAAATCAATCGAGGAGGCTATAATGTTACATAGACTGAGATGGCTAGGTCACGTGCTGCGCATGCCTAACCATCGCCTCCCCCGACGGGCATTGCTAGCTGATATAGGTGGAGGTTGGAAAAGGGTAAGTGGTGGCCAAACAAAAACATGGCCTCATCAATCCATGAAATCCTTGACAGTTAAACTGAGTCGGTCAGGTAGGGAGGGAGATTCAGACTTCCGGGTTGGGGCCCTCGGGACTCTAGGAATCAATGGCTGGAGACAATAGGTGACATGGCTCAAAATCGTTGTCAATGGCCAGCGCAGATGTATTCAGTCTGTGTAATCTTTCATATTCCTTTCTACCATTACCCATTCTGTTTCGCTCTTATACTTGTCAAAGTCTATTTATTCTCTTCACTCATCTTCTTGTCTACCTTTGTGTGCTACATGGAACGTGGCAACTCGAACTGGTGCACTTCGGTGTCAAGTTCTATGTTGAATCCAGACAGATAGACAATACTGATTCGATGTTACTTAAAACAGCACTGGCGTTGTCAATGACAGTATTTTCTTGATTAGTGCTGTCATACAGCTTGTAGCACCTGATGAAAAAGACGTTACCGAAAAGAATATTTTTTTTCAATTAATCTGTCGTTTAAATCTTGAGTGGGCGTCGGTGGCACAGCGATTAGGACTCTCGCTGATCATGCACATGGTCCGGGGTTCGAACCCCTGCCGACGTACACCTGATATCAATGGTCGGCTTGCAAAATTTCGGCCACCGATATCACATGCTGAAAATTCCATAGTTGTATCAAAAATGCGGTGTGGAATCAAGCTATAATCAAAATAAAAGATGCAATTGTAGAACTTGGGCATTGTGGTAGAATGTATTATTAGATAAGTTTATTTTAAATGCCGCGCAGCGATGCAGTATTAACAACTGGATGACAGTGTTTCGAGCATAAATTATTGCCACTCATAATCATATCAGTTTTAGTCACACGTTATCTCAATTTGCCTTATATACGTTTTTTTCTCTCTCTCTCCTCTGCCTTTCCAACTTCCCTTTGTTGTTTGTTGCCACTTCCCATATCTCCGGTGTGGGCGTTGCGTCATTCCGATTGCACATGGGTGGTGTTGAATTGATAAGCAAAACTTCAGTGATTAACCTCCCTCTCTCTCTCTCCACCCAACTATATTAGTTTTTAATACTTTCACCCTGGCCTACCCTGTTCTTGTGTGATTACAAGCAAGTCAATGCTATGCAACGGTGGAGCTTCTTTCAAACACATCAATACTTCAACAGATAGTCTATGTGGACTATTTGCTTATTTCTTAAGAGTCTAATCAACTGGAGAAGTGTGAATGAGGTCACTTCTTTCACTTATCAAGGCAGCATCGTTTCAACTACAGGTGTTGGCACGGATGGGAATGTCATGGCCAATCAGGATCGAAGAAGCAAGACAGAGATTCATTATTGTGAAATCAGTGTAAAAATCTGATGCAATCAGTATAAAGAAAAAGATTTGTGCTTTCAAGTCAGTGCTTCTATATAATTCAGAGACACCTGGAAGACGCGTCACATAAAGCATTTCTAACAGGCTACAGACTTTCATCAACAGCAGCCCTTTTGTCGATGCTGAAGATCGGATGATCAGGGCGGATAAACAACGGGAAAACAACCGATCAAGAACGTATTGTCCAACTAATTTGCCGAAGGGAATAGAGGTGTTGAGTGACATTGCGTGCCAGGCACTCTATTGTAACCCGAATGGGAAACGGTAAGTTGGACATGAGGCCGAGGGTGGCATTGAGAAGATCGTGTGAACAGGAGATGAATGCTTATGGGTAATTGTGGAACCAACTAAAGGGGACTGCATAGAACAGGAGATGAAATGGAGATGTGCTCATGAAGCTCCACGTTCCACTCAAGGGAATAATAATAAAATAAGAAGAGTCTTATAATCCCCAGTAATATTAATGAACACAATATTCAGGTGAAGACAATATACGTACATTTCCATTGTATTGCGTATTGCATAAGTTTGAATTTTTTCAACCAATCCTAAATTGAGTATCTTCTTCATCCTTTTTAGGGTTCACATAAAGATCAAAGTATTTTATTAATCGTTGATCGTAGTTTGGATCCTGTTAGTCCTCTTTTGCATGAATTAACGCTTCAAGCTATGTGTTATGATTTACTTGATGTAGAGGATAATTCAGTTGTGTAAGTGCCTACTAACCTTACCTTCAATATAATATATTCCATTTGTGAATTTAATCATACAGTTTTTTTTAAAATCTTATTAGAAATTGCAAATCATAATTTTTTTTAGATAAGGTGATTAAAACTCACTGACTTCATTAGTGAAGAAAAATGTACAAGAGCCATTCGACAAAAATGTATCAGCTTTCTTGTGAAACAATTCACTGTATTATTGTTATTATTATTATATCCTTTAATTCCTAGGGGAACATAGGGCTTCAGCCACAAGTCTCCATTACCTTCTGTTTTCTGCCAACTTTTTCACTCCGCTCCAAGTTTGCCCACATGCTTTCATCTCCTCTTCACATGACCTTCTCCAAGTCACCCCACTCTCGCACTGACAACCAACTCGCCACTTCCCTTTCGGCCTCGTTCCACTCGAGCAATGGATGGCTTGTCTAGTGATGTCACTCACTTGATCGTTTCCTCAGAGTATGGCCAATCCATCTCCATTTTTTCCTGCCTATTTGTTGCACAGTCGGTTCCTGGTTGGTTCGCTCATTTCCAAAGATCCCTGTTGTTGATCTTTTCTGGCCAGCCATCTGATCTTGAGTATTGAGCGAAGACAACTGTTAATGAAGGTCTGAAGTTTGCCTGAGATGCTCTTTATGACGCGCAGTGCAAGTCTCTGACCCGTATAGTAGCACTGACTTCACATTGGAGTTGAAAATCCGGATCTTATTTTTGATGGTGAGTGATGTTGACCTCCACACAGACTTAAGGGTAATCAAAGCCTGTCTTGCTTTTCCGATTCTGGCTTTGATATCCTCGTCAGTTCCGCCTGTAGTTGAAACGATGCTTTCTCGGTAGGTAAAGGAGGTTGTTTCTTCCAGGTTCCTCCCATTTATACTGATTGTTGTCTGTTGTTGTTGATGCTGTTGGTGTTGGCCAAGAATCTTCATCACCTCTGTTTTATCTATGTTCACCTGAGTTGAAGTCCTATGTTCGATGCTTCTTCCTGTGCCAGCTTGTTGCTTTTCACTTACATATCTTCCAGTTTGTGGGAAATCAGACATATATCATCGGCGATGTCCAGTCTTTTTTTGTGTGAGTCCATTTTATGCCTGTTTCCTCATTGCACGTTGTCTGTCTCGCTGTCTGTCGCATTATCCAGTCTACTGCAATCAGGAAGATCATTGGCGATAATAGACAGCCAGTCAGCCTTGCCTCACTCCCGTCCTCACTTCTTCGAAGGCTTCCGTAAGTTTCCTGTTGTGGATTACTTGGAATGCAGCATTGTCGTATAACTGTTGGATGAGATGTATTATTGTCAATGACACCCCGTAGTAGCGAAGTAGTTGCCAAATCACCTCTCGATCGACGCTGTCGAAGGCATTCACTGTGCATTAAATGAAATATAGCTCATGTGTTGTTGGTAGAAGTTGGAATTCATGGACATTGAATCAGGTCCCAGTGACTTAATTGTCTTCGAGCTCGCCTTGTAACCGGAAGCTCCTGGGTTCTAACTCTGGCGGTAGATGTGTACTATGAAGAGTTCTAAAGTAGGACGAAATAAATGTACAGTGCTTCCTAGTTGATTTTCCAATGTCACCTCATGGTGAAATCCTGAAATGTGGTTTTTGAATCGCTATAAATATACAAAATAATCTATTGTGACACTGATATAAGAATAAAACTTGTGCACTGTGGTAGAGTATAATTCCATTATGGGTAAATTTTTGTTTTGATAAAGTCTCACAGTGTTATACAGTAATGTTTACTGATGACGTTTCGAGCACAATTTATTGCTCATAATCATATCAAGGTACTCACACGACTTCCTAACTTCATTTATATAGTTCCATTATTTTTCACTTGATTTGATTGGTAGTACTATTTTCCATATTTCTGGTATGAGTGATGACTCATTCCTATTGCATGTGTTTGGTGTAGACTCGATGAACCAGGCAGGATTCAGTAATCCACCTCTATCTCTCTCCACCTATCTAGATTACTTTCTAGAATTTTAACCCTCTCCCACCCTATTGTGTCGTTGTGTGTTAATGCATGCATTGCAATTGCTGAGCTTTTTCTAAATTACCTATCTTTTCAGGGTCAACCATTCTTACCTTAGCTACATCCCTATGTTCCGACAATCTGTCTACCCCTGACCTACTAGTTTGACCTATGTAGTTGACCTCACAGTCATTGCAGGGTATTTTGTAAATTATATTATTTTGTCTGATTGGGTCAACTGGGTCCTTTAACCTACACAACTTGTCCCTGACTGAGTTTGTAGGTTTAAATGCCACTCTAATTCCTGATTTATTTAGAATCCTACGTAGGGTCTCAGATGTCCCCTCCTTATATGGTATAACTCTACATGCCTTATATTCTCTCTTATTTATGTTATTATTACTAGTTTCACAATTATTCTTCATTTGCTTTTGGCCTTTTTCGATCTTCCTAATGAATTTTAAAGGATAGTTATTTAACACCAAAGCCTCTTCTATCTGTTCTATTCCATCATTCCACTTCCTTGAGATTGAGATGAAGTCAATTTGGTTTTTGGTTCTCCCATCTGGTGTCACCCATATGCTGAAGTTTCATTAGCAACTTTGTTTACAGGGTGAGGTTGCTAGCCTCACGCCTGAGAAGGAATGGTTACATAAAGATAAAGTTTAGAGAGAAGCGACCTTTTGGGTTGCTTCCCTTAAAATCGGAAAACAACGGACAAAATAATCAGAACAACACCGGCAAAAGGAAAATAATTCATACATTTGGTTCCCTTGATAAATTTCGATAAGAAAGGAAGACGAAATTTGCAGTATAAAATGATATCATTCTATTTCACAGGTTCTCATCAGCTGCAGACTACCTGGAATTACAATGGTTATATAGATGATAATAACATACTTTAATGTTCGAGTGGTGGTAGAAAAGAGATACTATAAAATTGACGCATCTAAATGAAAGCATTACAATGTTTTTAGTTTAAGTTTTTATCATCAATTTATACGCTTTTAAAGTTGAAAAGAGGGGGAGGGGTAAGAGAGAAAACAGAAAAAATTGATTAACAGAACAGTGTTAGCTTTTAGGTTCACATAGCAACTCAAGAAACAAAAGCGGTTACATTATAATAGAGGCTTTTTTTGTATTTCCCAATGAATGAAAAAACAAAACGAAATTTCATTCATTGGGAAATACAAAAAAAAAGCCTCTATTATAATGAATATCATATACCCAATGCCCAAATTTTTTCAAACCGTTAAAAGTGAACTTGGTTTGGATATATATAAAAGCGGTTACAGTTTGTGAGATTAAGATTTGTTCAGTGAGTTGAGATCACTGAATTAGATGACTAATCAAAATCAAAATTCTGTTACCAAGGGAGTGAGAGGTTAATCATATGTAACCGTTTTTGTTTTTTTGTTTCTTGAGTTGCTATGTGAACCTAAAAGCTAACACTGTTCTGTTAATCAATTTTTTCTGTTTTCTCTCTTACCCCTCCCCCTCTTTTCAACTTTAAAAGCGTATAAATTGATGATAAAAACTTAAACTAAATACATTGTAATGCTTTCATTTAGATGCGTCAATTTTATAGTATCTCTTTTCTACCACCACTCGAACATTAAAGTATGTTATTATCATCTATATAACCATTGTAATTCCAGGTAGTCTGCAGCTGATGAGAACCTGTGAAATAGAATGATATCATTTTATACTGCAAATTTCGTCTTCCTTTCTTTATCGAAATAACGAATCATTATCTGCAGTGGATGGGATATTCTTTTGACTAAGCAAAGGCAGTGTGTGTAAATCATGACAATATAGGTTAACAATAACACTCATTGTAGGTTTAAACTATGTAGGAAACTGTTAGTTTGATTGGTAGGGTTTCCGAAAGATAATTGGAATCCATGATCTAAGACCCTAGAAAATATGGTTCGTAATGAATGTTTATGGCGCAGATGCATTCTTGCTGCATATCCGTTTAATTTGCAGTGTGTTATTTCGGTGAATTTACCGTAAATGGGTGAGAAATCCCTTGAACTACTTCCGGCCAATGGTCAAAGTAGTAAAATTGCAAACAGGAATTACAATATAGTAATAATATTTAAGTATTGGTTTGTAGGGATTTGATTCATTGGTTTCAGGATTTCATCATGAGCTGACATTGGTTAGAGAACCATTGGAAAACCTGGGAGTACTTGACAGAGCTCGCCTTGTAACCAGAAGGTCCTGGGTCCGAGCCCCAGTGGCTGCGTACTGATGAAGAGTCCGAGACTAGGCTGACGAAACAGCTGCCCAGTACTCTCAGGTTTTCTGATGGTTCTCGAACTGATGTCAGCTCGTGGTGAAATCCTGAAACCAAATAATAATAATAGTGATAAAATAAACATGAAGGTCGGGGAAAATCATGTTAGGACCAAAGTCACTAAGAAAATTGTTTTTTTTTTCGTGCAGTACGAGAATCGTCTCCCTAGATGTCGTTTCTCTCTTCACTAACATTCCGCTGATAAAAACTGCATGCTTTCTTTGTGACTTCATTGATCCCAGTAGCATCAATCTCGGCATATCAGTCGATTATCTAAGGGAGCTGTTACTATGATGCACTTTCAACGTCTACTTTAGATTCAACAACTAAATATACCGGTAATAGGTTCTCCTCTAGGGGACCCCTCTTGGGCAGCTGCTTTATGGCTTGGCTAGAAAACAATTCCTTATCATCAACTGTCGATGAGCTCTGTCTCCACAAGAGATACAGTGGTGATACTTTCATTGTTTGTGATGAGAATTAAGATCATAGAAACCTACTCAAACACTGACTTCACTTTAGAAGTTGAATCTGACTCACTATTTCATCTCCTCGATGTTCAACTGCAAAGAAATACTGATAACTCTCTGAAAAGATCCATCTAGAAAAATTCCACAAGGAATGGACAGTTTATCACCTTTCAAAGTTGTGTTCGTGTAAGCAAAAAGAGAAACCTCATATACTCTATTTCCTCTAGGATCCTTAAAATATGCACTGAGGAATCAATGGACAAAGAATCACTCAATCTCCGAGAGACGTTGATAGAAATTGGTTTCTCAGCAAGATTCATAGACACCAATCTAAAACCAAAGAAAACATCTGAAAAGGTCCAAGTCTCCCTCAACCAAAGATGCTAATGCTTAACCTCGAATTTAAAAATGATACTGTAGCAGAACTCTGTAGATCGCTTTCGGAATTTCCCAGTAAAACATACTTCGCTGCCGGCTTACGAGTGACATTTCCTTGCAAGAAATTATTCAGCCAGCACGTGAATGACAAGCTTTCGCATCAGGCCATTTCATCATGCATACAACATTTCACTTGCTCGTGTGAAGCAGAGAACATTGGCCGTATCATCCGTCCGCTTGTAAAATACGCTTAGCAAAGGAGAACGCAAGGGTGTATATAGTTCAGTAACAGTACATCTGGGGAATTCAGGACATTCAGTCCCATGTGTTGTTAAGCCCTTCAGTTAGATACACGATCCTATCAAACTTCTGAAATGGAGTGGGATCAAGGCATCTGAAAATAACTGAGGCACCAGTGATCCAGAAGTTCAAGCCCCACGCTATGTATTTTAAATAAATACTTCCAACAGTTGTCCCTACCATGGCCGTCACCAAACGTCAGTCCTCTCAATAATGATTATCCTATCCAATGTTCCTATTTATTTCTGTTATTTTCACGATTTTTTTTCGTTCCTATCTGCATTACTGTTTTTATCCGAACTTCCTGTGTATTTTGTTATTGTTATGCTTTCAATCCATAATTACACAAAAAACAGTCAAGTTTCTTAGTAATTAGGATCTTACTATGTTCTTATCCCATCTTCCTGTTTATTACACTTTAACAGTTTTATTAATTTGCCCATGACTGGAAGTAGTTCAAAGGATTTCTAACTCCCTTACTGTAAATATGTGGTGAGAGCAGGCTGCTAGCCAATTGGTAGGCATTAATTTACGTCAATGTCTAGGTCACTAATATTGGCCGTGAGAAAATATGAACAAGGCTGATTCAACAGCCAATCACATCAGACTTAACGTGGGCAAATAAGATTTGCAGATATATGGCTTAACTTTTCGAGAAACCAGAAGCAACCAATCAGAAGACTGTGTTCGTCTGCTTGAATAAGCTATAGTAATGTACATGAAATATATATATATATATATATATACGTGTTGATTTCCGTAATAAAAGGATCTGTTGCCGGCCTTTGTCTACTATTGTTACAAATACACGAGTGTACAGCCTAGTTGATTTTGATGTTGACTTCATCGAAAAGAACGTTTTCTTCTTTGCTGCAACCGTCTTTTTCAAATAATCCCGATGATCTAGTGTGTGTATTCATTTTTTCCTTTAATTTCGTTATTTACAAACGTGCGTCTCTTACAGTTTTAGATTATCGTCTAACTTTTTAGTTTTCATCGAAATTATCAGCCTGTTGTACAAATCTAAGGATGTGGCGAAGTACACACCAGTGCTCTAGGTGGGCTATATGAATTATGTCTGTCTTTTTGTTGGTTATCTAACTTCTTAATTAAATATTTTCTTTCCTATTTAAAGATTTGATGGGAATCGTAAAGCAAATGTAGCTGAAGGAGATACGTTGTGGAGAGAGTTGCGGCATCAACATATTGCAGATGTCACGAGGTATGTGTTCCTTGGTTAATTGTAAAAGTTCTGAATCGTAACTACTATTTTGTGGTCATTCTACATTTACACATAGAAAATATGTCGCTTGTCTTACAGTTTTACCTTTAATCAAAACACGGTAGGTGGAATGCTTGCTAGCTACGCTGAATGCCTGGCTTCAATTCCCGACCGACGCATTCCTAAAACTTCCATAGTTTATTAGGCAAATAGTAAGCTACGAAAAGAGAAATGCAAAGGGACGAAAAAATATGACTTTCACTTCTTTTAATCCGATTCATTAATCACAGAGGGATTAGCTTGACCACTATGGCTCAATAATAATGCGTAGACTAAACGGTGCTCAGAGGGAACTAACAGGAGAGAACCAGACGGGCTTTAAACCAGGAAAAAAGTGTATTGATCATATCTTCAAGCTTCGACAGATTCTGGAACATTGGCATACTTATCATCGGCGTCCAACAATCGTTATATTTCTTGACCTAAAGGCGGCACTCGGTTCTGTCAACTGAGAGGTACTATGGGGATGTTTGGCTGTGAAGGGAATGCGGAGATAATACTTCGCACTGTTCAAGGCACTCTACTCGAACTCTTGCAGCCACCCAGGTGAGAGCTTACGGCTAGTTGTCATCTGAACTGATGACAACCAGTGGTGTCTGTTGTGGATGCCCACTGTCCCGGTTTCTGTTTAATTTCATCATATGTAGATGTATTAATGGACTTAACCCTAACCGACTTCTGGAACTCAGGGATTCACTTATTACCATCAGGGAATAATCTCGTTGAATCAGAATATATAGATGGTATAGTCCTCCCTGTTGTGTAAAGACACTGAAAAAATGCACTCTTATGAACAACTTCAACTGAAATCTCTGAATGTTTGGCATGCAATTCCTTATTGTGAAATTCAAGTAAGATGCTACAGGACTGGACTACATCGACTCACTCATAGCTTAAAGATAGGGAGGGAGTAAAGTGGTAGCTGAGCGTGCTGACCACTTCATCTATTTAAGAAATTGAATCAGCCAAGTCCAGAGGGTTGATCGCCGACGAAATCTCAGCACGGAAACAGAAGGCTCGTTTGGCATTTAATAGCCAACTTACGCCATCTCTGGCTCAGTAGACGTGATATCCGGTGGGCTACGGACCAAAGGGTGTGTGTACCGCTCGGCAGTGTTTACTCTGTCCTCCTCCTTTATGGCTGTCAATGAGACATGGCCAAATTAGCTGTCTTTGATCATAGGTGTCTGCGTTCTATCTCCGGTGTTGAGTGGTATAGTAGAGTGAGTAGTATTGAGGTAAGGCATAAAACTTGGGCACTGTGGTGGAGTATAATGCCATTATGGATAAGATTTGAATAAGTTCCCTCCTACACCTTAAAGACTAAACTCCGGTGTATCACCGTATTTCGTATTTTTCCACCTACTGGAATATTCAATTGGATTTCAAAGAATTGTGACGTCCTTTAGAAATCAAGAGTTCACGCGTGGATGATCCTACCTATCTCAATAGCTTATTTTCAAGCATATTTCTCCTACCTTAAGTCATTTTCTCTACATCGTAATTTATTTGCTTAACCTTCAGGACACTCCCTCAACGAGTTCGTGAATTTGCTGAAAGTAAGAAACAATTCGCAGAGTTCGAAGAAGCCACAGCATCTCCTGTTTCATCAAACGATGATAAAAATAAAAGTGCCGTTGGACTAAGAGGTCTTTCCGATCTAATTAAACGTATGCCACAATATCAAACAGAAGCGGCCAGTTATGCAGCTGCTTATCATGTCGTTGAAACGTGTATGATTAATTTTAAAAAGGGTGTAGATAAACTGTGTGAAATTGAACAGGTAGGTTTGTAAATTATTGATTAGTATTATTATTTATTTATTTTATTATGAGTACTTGTGTGCGTGTTTGTGTACCTTTTGGTTTTTGTCGAACCACTTATTTATGTGTGTAGTACATTAAAAATGGATTCCACCATTGAACGAACATACCTCAAATATAAGTTAGCTTAATTATTTGTTTTCGTTATGTGTATTCTCACTTCAACGCTATTTGTCATTTACTAAAACCAACTCTGACCCTATTTAATCAAATAATTTGTTTTATCAGACAGGATCCGGCTCGTACTGATATAGCAGTACCATATATATATATATATATATATATATATATATATATATATATATATATAAGCCCGCATACTTCATTTGAATCATTTGTTCTGTGTAGATTTCATAATAATAATAATAATAATAATAATAATAATAATAATAGGAAGGTTCCAGAATAATTTCTGGACAAGGGTCAGATTAATAGAATAGAATTACAATTAGGAATTAAAATACCATAATAAACAAGGCGACGAATAAAGCTCAAACAAAGTAGCATCATAATTACTGAGAAGATTGACATATCGTGCAATTAAGGGTTAGAAATGTAGAAATAATAAAATAACATGAATAAACGGGAAGTTTAGATAAGAAAATCAATGGGATATTCACTATAAGAAGAATTACCTGTTTATGATGGCCACGGCAGGGACAAGGGTTGAGCGTATTTCTTTTGGATATGTAGCGTGGGTTTGAGATTTTGGATAGCTAGTGTCTCGGCTATACCCAGATGTCTTAATTTTACTCCCTTTGGCAGGTTTGATAGAATCTTGTATATTATTTTGAAGGATTTTTCGAATGGCACTGAATGTCCTGACTTGACCAGATGTTGTGTCACTGAACTATATACACGTTTTCGTTCTCCTTTTACTAGCCAGGCTAGATAGTGTTCACGAGAGCGTTTTTCAAGTTGGCGCATGGTACAGCCGATGTACTCAGCTCCGCAAGAGCAAGAAAACTGGTTTATACACGTTGAAGTGGCCTAATGTGACAGCTTGTCCTTCGCGTTCTGGTTGAACAGTTTCTTGCAGGAAAACGTTAGTCGTAGGCTCGAGGCGAATTATGTTTTCCTCAGAGATTTAGGGAGGCATTTACAAAGGATTTCTGCTTCAATGTCACCTTTGAATATTAGATTATGCAGAAGAAGATTCTTCGGGACGGATTGAACTTGTTCGATCAAACCTACCAAAGGGAGTAAAATTAAGACATCTGGGTATAGCCGAGACACTAGCTATCCAAAATCTCAAACCCACGCTACATATCCAAAAGAAATACGCTCAACCCTTGTCCCTGCCGTGGCCATCATAAACAGGTAATTCTTCTTATAGTGAATATCCCATTGACTTTCTCATCCAAACTTCCTGTTTATTCATTTTATTTTATTATTTCTACATATTTAAATCCGTGATTGCATAAACAATTATTCATCACATTAGTTATGATCCCACCAGATATTTTTATCCAAACATCCTGTCTATTGTTATTGTTATTTCTACATTTCTAACCCTTAATTGCACAATATGTCAATCTTCTCAGTAATTATGGTGCTACTTTGTCTGAGCTTTATTCATCCCCTTGTTTATTATGGCATTTTAATTCCTAATTGTAATTCTATTCTATTAATCTGACCCTTGTCCAGAAATTATTCTGGAACTTTCCTACCCAATTTATTATAGATACACGAATGTACAGTCTAGTTGATGATTTCGTCGAAAAGGAAATTTTCTTCACTGCAACTGTCTTTTTTTCCCTATAATCAAATGTGTATATTCCGTAATAATAATAATAATAATAATAATAATAATAATAATAATAATAATAATAATAGGTCTATTCTAAACGGTACTTTTAGTACAATTATGGAATTTCCAACATATGATACAGTACAGTAACTGCATCTAACTTTCTCATTACAAGGAGTAATAATTAAAAGAAGAGCATTCACATTGACAGTAATTAACATTCAACTTAGTTTCAACTTCAGTGCCATCTGTAATAGTAAAAATCATTCGTATTAACCAGTTCATGTAAGTCGCGCTTATATATGAAAATAAAATTAACAACCTGACATTTGAAGAGATTTAGCTTAAGACCATTTGACGAAGACCACTATCTAATTTCTGATAAAAAGTTATTTATTTTGGAACAATCTGATTGAGATGTAACCACCAGCGTGAAAACAACCAGATCATCGACATACTTAACGAAATCGGCTTCGTCAGAATGGGGCTGACGATCGATGCGGTAGATGCCATACATCCATGATTACCGGATACTGTAGGTCAAGGTTTACTTGGCGTGTCTCTTGGTTCGTATTGTCAATATATCTAGCGATAAGGGATATATCACTATTGGACATATACACAATGGAAAGTCTACCACTACTGGACATCTTACCAATAAATCTGGAGACAGAGAGATTGATTAAGAATCTCTCAAGTATGGACAAGCTGAAGACTGAGCGTTTAAATAGTGTCACAGTTGATATTGTCTGTGAGAGTTTGAGACGCCTAGATACTCCATTACAGTCACTGACACTCCTGACCATCGTGACTTCATTAAAAACAGAACAACTGGTACACTAGCCAGCTTCATTGTATGTCTTTGATTGGAATTATGTTCGCAGTTTCTCTTCTGAGTAGAGTTGCGATGAAAGTTCTTCGCAGTATGTGTGTAGACCATAATGTTGCCAGTCATCATTGATTTTATCGTAATATCGTAATAATTACTGGCATTCTTCAGGGATAAATAACAGAAAAATTGTGATACGTCAATAGGTAGTTTGACAATGACACTAGTTACTCATATAACAACAACTGTCAAAATAAGTCGGTTTTCAATTGTTGGTTTCCTGGGATTTGTTTGATTTCAAGTTTGACTTCATTTAGAGAAGCATTGAAAAACAGGGAGCACTAGACAGCTGTTCCACTCTTGTTCTGGACTCTTCACCAGTATTAACCCCATCATCCCACTTAGTATTAAACCCGAGAAACTTCAGGTTCCATTTCTCTGTAGCGTGAATAATTTGCTTCTCCTTATTTACGTGAAAATGCTTTTCACTCAACTTACTTAAACTTGCTAAAGAAATCTAACTCTAGTTCAATTGCCTTCCAGATACCGATTGAAGACTTTCATCTAGCAGTAGTTAAAAAATACTCTTAACTCATTCATTCCCTACACAACTACAAACAATCCATTTAATATTATTATTATTATTTGTTTCCCATAGTTCATTCTAGTGCGTCGGTGGCATAGCGTTTAGGACGCTCGCCGACCATGCACATGGTCCGGGGCTCGATCCCCGGCCACAGACGCACTCCTTAACCTCGTTAAGCCATTAATAATTCTGGTAAAGAGGAAAGGTTGGGCATGAGGCAGGCTAGCAACCCCATCCTGTAAAAATAGTCACCACTGCTACAGAAACTTCAAGCCAATAGCTTAGAGCCCTATGTTCCGCTGGGGAATGTGAAGGAAAAAAAGGGTAACATAAAAGAGATTGTTTGAGTATGAAATGAAAGTTTGTGGGCAGTTGTTGAACCAGCTGAAAAAGACAGCAGAGAATAGGATGAAATGGAGATGGGCTACACTGAAGCCCCCTTTTTTCCACACGGAACTCAAGGGCATTATATTAGAATAATAATAATACTAATTTCTACTACTTTCTAGTGTAGTTATTTACTGCATTTGATCTATGTATATACAATATCTTTTTTCTAGGATCTTGTAATGGGAGAAAACGCCCAAGGTGAACCAGTAATCGATCCGATGCGTGTATTGGTTGATATATTCAAATATGATTTTACATCAGTGGAGGAACGTTTACGCCTAGTGTTAATCTTTTCTCTCATTAAAGGTAGGTAACGCTTTGAACGTTTTTTTTCTCTAGTTTACTTTCAGTAATACTTTCCGTTCATTTTGGAAATCGCCCATAGGTAATTATCTTATTCTATTGTCAAGGTTGACAGGACGCTTTGCTAGTTGATGTACCTGCCAAGTGTCTTAGCTCCCTTCTCAGTGATTAGGCTTTGTGTTCAGTTATCGTATTCCTACTTCATAGTCAATCGGATGCCCACCTTACTTTCTGTTGTACTAAGTAGTTTGCGTTAACTTTTATTTTAGTTTCAGTGTCACCATCACCTTTTGATAAATGTATGCTATTCACTGTAGTCTTATATTATAGATTTGACCTCATGTAAACAAGTTTTATTTAAAGGCTCTACATAACTAGACAGCAATCGATAGTTACTGTGATTCATATTAGAACCATCAATGTTGAGAATGGGTAGTGATATGATGATGATGACGAAAATTTCTTCAGCTCCACATAGCTGAGACTTCCAAGAAGATCGACTACACCGGAACTTTGTATTCAAAAGGAACACGTTCAGGCGCTGTTCCCACCGTGGTCAAGAGTGCTTCTTCCCCTTAACCCTCATGGGTCTTTTTTCTTCCTTTGGTTATTATTATTATTATTCGGCATAATATATACCCTTCATGCAAACATTCTCTCAATACTATCGTATTTTCCATTTATACTATCCGAACTTATAATTAGTAATATTGTCTGTTTTCTCAATATATACCTCCACCTATTTCATTTCACATATTCATTATTTCATTATGAACCTCTCATTGCAGTCTTAATATTTCCTGTTTAATATATACCATTTTGTACTAGCCACTCACTCACCTGACACCTTTTATAACCTTGAACTGACTTGTCAATTTTCCTACCTCACACTCTGCAAATCTATTATGACTAATCACCACCCTTGTTTCCCATTTTACAATATTTTATAACCGGTTTCAGCCTGGCGCGTTTGTCACAAAAATGGCTAATCTGTTATTCTACGTAAAAACATATATTATTATTGTTCCCTTGGGTTCCTAGTGGAACATAGGGCTTCAACTGCACGCCTCCACTTGTTTCTGTCTTCTGCTGTACTTTTCACCTGCATCCATGTTAGTCAGTCCATTCCGTTTCAACTCCTCTTCACACGATCTCCTCCAGGTCACTCTTGCACTGACGTTTCACTCGTCGCTTCCCTTTCGGCCTGGTTTCACTCGGGCAATGGTCTGACGCGCGCACGATGTCACCCAGCGGCCTCCTCAGCGAGTGTCCAATCTATCTCAATCCACTTTCTCCTGCCTATTTGTTGGGCGATTGGTTGTTGTTTTGTTTGTTTGTTCCCATAGTTTTCCATAGTTGGTGATTCTTTCCAGCCCGGACATCTGATCTTCAGTGTAGGGCGAAGACAGTTGTTGATGAAGGTCTGCAACAGGCTGTTGGAAATGTTCTTTGAGATCCGTATAGAAGAAATGACTGACGTGACATTTGTATTGAGGATCCGATTGAATTTTGTTGTTGATGCTGGCTGAGTGACGAAGATTTCCAGACTGGTTTCAGGTTGATGAATGTGTGTGTTCCTCGCCTTCCCGATTCTCGCTCGATTTGACATCCTCGTCCGTTCCGACTTCCTGTAGTTGAGACAATGCTCGCTAGATAAGTGAGTGAATGAAGTAACCTCTTTGATGGTGATTGGCGCTGGATGTTGTTGTTGTTGGTGGTGGTGGTTGGTTGGTTATTTTCATAACATCCGTCTTGTCTATGTTCACCTGAAGTCCTGTCTTTGCCGACTGCTTCTTCGACCAGTTTGTCGGTCGGTTTTTGCTTGTTAGTCATCGATTTTGTGTGACATCAAACATAAATCATCCACGCGCGAAATCCAGGTCTTCTAGGTTGTTCGCTTCGGTCCAGGATATCCCTGTCTTCTCGTTTCTCACTGTCTGACGCTGTAGAATACAAACATACTTGACAATGAGCTATGATGTAAGTGCAGAAAAGCTGATAATGACCATTACTTCAGTAGGTGGTGGTGGAACGCGGGATTCGAAGTCATGATTCACTAGTGTTTATAGTCTAATGGTTTAACCAATCCACTGCGGTTATACATGTTTAAAAAGCATAGACAGTTCGTTAAAAATCATTTTTAGATAATTTCTAATGATTATTTTTTTAACTCTCAACTTTCATTATTATTGTACCTTATTCATAATTTTATTCTTTTAGAAGGATTCGCAGAAACTCATTTGGATAAATTACTAGATTGTGCTCAAATTCCAAGATCATATAAACCGTTATTTGCAAGTATTTCACTGATTTTAAGTGCACAAGTGATTCAAGTTGATGTAAGTTTTTAAATTATTTTTTCACTCATACATACACACTTTTTTTTTGAAAACATCAACCGATACACATCTGCCTACAATAGATTTTGATCACTCTACTTTGCTTCTGATGAGCATGATTTCGATTTACTGGTGCATTTTACTCTTTATGATGCTGATTTAATTGCGGAAACACTTATTAAATAAAAGTCTTTCCAGTGAAACGAAGTTTCTTTGGCGAATTTTCTTACCACACAAAATTCATATTCATACAGTTAATCCCTTGGATAAATTTGACAGTTGTTAGAATGCATGCACCATTGGATCGAGTCCTATTGGCTTGATAGTCTACGAGCTCGCCTTATAGCCGGAAGGTCTTTGTTTCTAACCTTGCCGGTGGGTGTGTGATTATGAAGAGCGCCAGACTAGGACGATTTAGCTCTCCAGCATCCCCTAGTTGGTTTTCCAATGGTTCTCTAACCGATTTCAGCTCATGATGATGAAATACTCTAATCATATTTCAGTAGGTCAAGTACTCCATAGTAGGCAAAAGTTGTTGGAATCTATTGTCTTCCGGATACATGGTAGTTTTAGATGCCTGTATGATTAATCCCCGTCCGCCAAAGTCCTACCGTCACCTTTAATAACCTTGAATAAGACTTAGATGAAGTAATTGAAAAAGGAAACATTAATAAATGCTTTGCAATAGATGATACTGGACTTCTATTCAAACTAAGCACATTTGGATTTTCTATGTGACTTTGCAACCATCTAGGAATGTGTTTTTTCCAGCAACATTGGAACATTCTATTGGTTCTACCGCTCGCTATATGTGTACCCGCAACTAAAGGTGAGCTTGTAGATACAATGTGGAGTAGGCTACATAGAATTCCGTCTTTTAATCGTAGGATGTGGAATCAATCACTTAGAAATTATGTGAAAATGATAAAAAAAATTCGACTAGGAAATAAAAAAATAAAACGCCGGGGTCAAATCAATTCAGCCACTTGAAAGAAATGCAAAATGAAATGTTACCCCAACAATCACTTGTAACTCTGGGCAGTTGGAAATGCTTTACATCTATTGTGTGAGGACTAGCGATACTAAATGTCTGCCCCAACCTTGGTATGTGAAGCGAGTTTCAAACCTGTGGCCCACTGGGTTGGAAAGAAGTCAAGCGCCTAGACCAATGAGTCACAGGTCCTCGGTTGATATTACTTTCTGACCTAAGTTTCTTTTTTGGCGCATCACGAAAAGCATCTCCAACAGGCTCAATGGTAATGTCTTCGACTAAATCACTAGGTGACTACTCCGGATTCGAATCTCAGAAGAGAACATGAGTTCTTTGAAGATTTCAGATATACCTTACTGACGGACTGATGAGCGCTAACAAGCACAAAACCTAAGTTCAAGGCTTCCTACCATCTACCCCTCCCCCCTCAATCATCTAATAACAACAATTCAAAGTTGCACTATGATGGTGAGCCCACCTAACATAGTGGCTATTTTGCAAACTTGACTAATAGTGTTCACTCTGCATCAAACAAAGTAGTGGACGTATGACACTAGTTACTGCCTAGTGACCAATCAGAGTATATATATATATATATATATGGGTTGTAATTTCTAATTTTTACTTAAAATTAATTCCTACAGTAATTCTTCATCCCCTATTGTTTCTGCTCAGATTACATATATATATTTTTTCTGTAGTCACTTACTATGTTTATAAATGTTTTTGTTAAGCATGTACTTTATACCTTATTAGTTTGTTTATTAGATATATCACACAGTGAAACAGTATTATTTACTGGATGACAAAGTTTCGAACAAAATTTATTGTTCATAATCATATCAATTGTGATCACAGGATTTTGAAACTTGAGTTTTATAGTTTTCTTTCTTTTCTCCTACTTTTCGTCTTTGGGGTAGTAGAATTTTCAAGATATCCGCCTGGACAGGTGTTGAATCATTCCTGTTACATGTATTTGCAGTTGATTCGATAAACAAAGCTTCTGTTATCAATCTTTCCCCCCACCCTTTGACATTAGATTTTAAAACTGTCATCTTATCCCACCCAGCCTATTGTATGGTTGTGTGTAACTGCGTGTAGTGCTATAGCTGAACTATTCTCTAGATTTCCTATCTTATTTGGGTCAACCAATCTAGATTTTGCTAAGTTTTTATGTTCAGCTAGTCTGACTGTCCCTGTTCTACTAGTTTGACCTATGTATTTGACTTGACAATCATTGCAGGCAGGGTATTAGATAAACTAAATTGTTTTGTTTTAAATGCTCCACAGGATTGATCCTTTAACCGACAAAGCTTGTTTCTAATTGAGTTTGTGGGTTTGAATGCCACTTTTATTCCTGCCTTGTTTGGAATTACTGTTGATGATTTAGATTCCTTATTGTTGGTGTTATCACTATTATTGTTATCATTATTATTATTATCACTATCGGTACTATCATTATTTATTGTATTCTTACATTTCCTTACATATTTCTCGACTAATTTATCCGGGTAATTATTAAGTCTCAACTTTTTTATGTTTATCGCTTCCTGTCTTAGATTTTCCTTGGTACTACTTACTTTTTGTGCTCTGTCACTCGAACATTTCACCAATCCTATTTTTACTGACATAGGATGGGATGATAGGAAATTCAAATATCTGTTTGAATGTGTGGGTTTTCTGTAAACACTAGTGTTTAACTTCCCATCTTCTTTCCTTTTTACGTTGCAATCTAACATTGGAAGTTCCCCTTCCTGACTTTCCAATTCATAAGTGAATTGAATTGCCTCTACCTTCGAGTTGATGTGCTCGAAAAAGCTACCTATATCTTGTGTTCTAAGTACAGTGAATGTGTCATCTACATACCTCCACCATACTTTTGAGGTGCGGCTGAACGTTTCAAACGCTATGTCTTCCCACCTATCCATGAATATATCTGCTAGAACCGGGGATATTGATGATCCCATGGCAACTCCCTCAGTTTGTTTGTATATTTTCCCTTGGAATTTAAATACTGTAGAAGTCAGGCAAAGCTGCACTCCCAGCATTATGTCCTCAAGTGGCACTTTTGTCCTAAGTTCGAGTTCTTGGTCAGAAATGAGTTCGTTTCTGACCGCCTCTATAGCCATATTTATTGGTATACGTGTATATAAACTGACAATATCAAAACCAACCATTTTTTTTCTTCATTTTCAAATTTTAAATAATCTAATCTATGTTTTAGTTCATAAGAATTGGTTAGTCTAGATTCCGATAGGCCTTCTAAGGGATTTATTACCATGGCTAAATATTTAGATAATTCATAAGTAAGCGAATTTCTAAAATCAATTATAGGGCTGATAGGGTATCCTGATTTATGAACTTTGACAACACCATACATCCTACTAGGGTTATTAGTTTTGGGCATTAAATTAAACCACTTAGACTCACCTAGAAACGGCTTCATTCGGCGTATAAGGTGGTCCGCTGTGGATTTCTTAACTTTATTCATAACTGTGTCTATTGATTTACTAATTTATTCATATGGTCCTGTTTGTATGTGAGTATTTACCTTGTCCAAATAGTCTGATTTGTCTAATACTACTGTGGCATTTCCTTTGTCTGACTTTGTGATTACTATATCCTCGTTATTCTTAAGGTGTTTCAGGACTTATATCTCTGGTTTTGTTAGGTTAGGCTTTCCACATTTTTGTCGTTTTAATATAAGTGGAATTAAGGGATATAATAATAATAATAATAAGTGCACATTGGATGATCTGGACTTTGCGGATGATACATGCCTGATTTCCCACAAACTGGAAGATATGCAAATGAAAAGCAACAAGTTGGCACAAGAAGCATCAAACATAGGACTTGAAGTGAACATAGATAAAACAGAGGTGATGAAGATTCCTGGTCAACACCAAAACTGACAGCAACAACAACACACAACAATCAGCCAGCATAAATGGGAGAAACCTGAAAGGAACAACCTCCTTTACCTGCCTGGGAAGTATCGTTTCAACTACAGGCGAAACTGGCGAGGATATCAAAGCAAGAATCGGAAAAGCTAGACAAGCTTCCATTACCCTTAAGTCTGTGTGGAGGTCAACATCACTCACCATCAAAAATAAGATCCGGATTTTCAACTCCAATGTGAAGTCAGTCAGTGCTACTCACTATACGGATCAGAGACTTGCACTGCACGTCATAAAGAGCACCTCAAACAAACTTCAGACCTTCATTAACAGTTAGCTGTCTTCGCTCAACACTACTCAAGATCAGATGGCCGGCCAGAAAAGATCAACAACAGGGATCTCTGGAAATGAGCGAACCAACCCAGCAGGAACCGACTGTGCAACAAATAGGCAGGAAGAAATGGAGATGGATTGGCTGGCCATACTCTGAGAAAACAAACTATCAAGTGACATCACTGGACAAGCCATTGCTCGAGTGGAACCCGAAAAGGCAGCGGCGAGTTGGTCGTCAGTGCAAAGATGGAGTGACTTGGAGGAGGTCATGTGAGGAGGAGATGAAAGCATGTGGGCAGACTTAGAGCGGGGTGAAAAAGTTGGCAGAAAACCGAAGGCAATGGAGACTTGTGGCTGAAGCCCTATGTTCCTCTAGGAATTAAAGGATATAATAATAATAATATGTGTGCACATTGTGCCCGTACTTCTTCGGCTGTTGCTTTGTCTATCCCACTTAGTGCTATTTCTGTTTTTAGGGATGACATTCTCAGGTTTCAGCTTGTCTACTGATACGTTGAAATTTAGTCCCTTTTCTAATGTACTTTATAATTTCTCATTGTGGTAGGTAGTTGACTGTATTCATTTCTTTGTTACAGTTTTGATTAGTGTTTGCATATTCTCTATATATATAAGAAAGTGAAAGTTTCACATCTATTAGTAAAAATTGTTTTAGTATTGATCATTACTCAAAGTTTTATTGTTATTATTGTTCTCATTTTAATGTTTAATTGTTTTCTAAATTACTCTTAAGATGAAGTCTCATGTTACGCACTTTTATT